TTTATCTGTGTGTATGTGTTTGGTGCCTTTGGCATCCTGAGAAATCTTTGCCTAACCCAAGATTACGAATATTTTCTTCTAGAAGTTTTATATTAACTTTTATATCTTAACAATGTTGACTCTTCTAATCCATAAATGTTGTATATCTTTCCATTTATTTAGGTCTTCTTTAATTTTTCTCAGCAGGGTTTTGTAGTTTTCAGTGTACAGATCCTGTACGTATTTTATGAAATTTATCCCTAGGTATTTTGTGTTTTTCGATGCTGTTGTTAAGTGGTATTGTTTTTAATTTTAATTTTTTCAGTCGTTTGTTGCTAGTATATAGAAATACGATTGATTCTTGTACATTGACTTTGTATTCTATGACATTGCTAAATTCATTTATTCTAGTTATTTTTTAAATGAAAATTTAGAATTTTTTATGTCATGTCATATGTAGATGAACAGCTTTAATTTGTCCTTCCCAATCTGTATGCCTTTTAATTTCTTTCTCTCGCCTTTTGGCTATGACTTCCAGTACAGTGTTTAGTAGGAATTGTAAGACTGGGTGTCCTCGCCTTCTTCCCAATCTTAGGGGGAAAGCATCCAGTCTTTTTGCCATTAAATATCAGGTTGGCTGTACAGGGTTGTTTTGTTTTGTTTTGTAGATGCCCTTTATCATCTTGATCCTAGTTTCTTGAGAATTTTTTTCATGAATGGATGTTGAATTTTGTTAAATTATTTTCCTGCATCTACTGATATGATCATGTTGTTTTTTTCGTTGAGTCTGTTAAGGTGGTGCATTACCTTAAATGATTTTCAAATGTTGATCCAGCCTTGCATTCTCTGGATAAACCCCACTTGGTAAAGATGTATTATATTTTTTATATATTGCTTGATTTGTTAATATTTTGTTGGGAATTTTTTATTCATGTTTATAAGGCATGTCAGTCTGTAGTGTTGAAATAACTTTCTAGGCCCACGATGGAGCTACTCCTGCCCGGTGTGCCACGTCAACACACTCAAACTTAGATAACTTGCATGTCCTGGTAAATGCTTTTCTTGACCAGAAATGCAGTATATCCAGTCAGCCAGTCCCCAAGTGCCAAGCCAACTACTTCCTTGGTCCTGATTCTTTATGCTGTAAAAGCTTCCCACCTTTCGCCCCATTTTGCAGTTCTCCAAATGGAGACTGTCTGCTTCATGAAGTATTAAATATTTGAATCACCTAAATTGTCTCCTTTAATCACTTTTTTTAATAGCAGTTTGCTTTTCTTGTAATTTCTGTCTGGTTTTGCATCTGAATAATGCTGACCTCATAAAATGAGTTGGGAAGCGTTCGTTGCTTCTCTTTTCTGGAAACACTTGTGTAGAATTGATTTGTTTGTTCCTTAAATGTTTCACAATGAGACCATTTGGTCTGGGTCCCATCTTGATCATGTTCTAGCTACATATCATCCCCAAGAAAGCAGTCCCTAAGTGATGATTTGAGGCTATGTACTTATTCTGTTGGTGTAACCAGAATCAATCTGGCTCAAGGGACTGCCTCAGATTAATCAAGTGAGACTGATTTTTCAAGCCCCCACTGAGCCAGGCACTGTACTAAGAGTTTTATATTTACACTATTTTATGTATTCTGTAACCTAAAATGCCAGTATTTACAGTGAGGGACATACCTCTCCAGTAACCACAATATGTATGTCCTCCATCTAGAGCAGGCGTTCTGCCGACTACTGCCCATGGGCCAAATTCAACTTGCTGCTTGTTTTGTTTATTGGAGCACAGCTATGCGCATTCGTTTATGTGTGGTCTGTGGTGGCTTTGTGCTGCAATGGCAGTTAAGTAGTTGTGACAGACTAACCCACAAAGCCTGAAATATTTACTCTCTGGCCCTTGACAGAAAAAGGTTGGTGACGCCTGATCTAAAGCAGTGATTCTCAACCCTGGCCACATATTGGAATCACCTGGAGAACACTTGCAAAAATACTGATGTCTGCCTCCCACTCTCAGAAATTCTGATTCAGTTGGCCTGGGTTGGGACCTGGGCATTGGCTGTGTTAAAAGCTCCCCAGGTGATTCTACCTGGCAGCCAAGACTGAGAACTACTGACCTAGAATAAGGCTTGGTATTTGTATTTATTTTACTGCTCATCCTACGCAGATTATTCTAATACAAATTTAGAGCTGAGAAACACTCATCTAAGGCGGTAGTTTCCAGATCTGGATGTGTATCAATCACTTGGGTAGATTTTTAAAATAGATTCCAGGACCCTACTCCAAATCAACTGAATCAGAATTTCCAGGGATTTTTAATTCCTCCAGTGGTTCTGATATGTAGGCATTTCTTTAAAAGAGGACTGAACCTAGGGCACCTTATTCTTATTAGTAAGATTTTTGGGTATTGAATGAGTAACCAGAGGATTATTTAGGGAGCATAGGCGTGGAGAAAGGGATTTCTTGAGGATGTGCAATGCAGGCTATGGATGAGCCTATTGAATAGTCCAGCCTCATAGAAATAGAAATACACCTTCCCTAGTGATGAAAATATTCATTTCTATTAGATATGGTGTATCTAACCCCCCTTGTACAGTGCTGGATAAAAAGGAACATGTTTTTCCCTTGTTTCCCTTTATCTGGATTCCAGAAAGACAAGTCATTCCATTAATAATTTTTCTTCAGATAATCAGGTCACATTATGAGAGATTAGATATCTTTGTTTTTGCATTTCTGTCTTGGCAATATACCCCATCAGCTTGAGTGTTTCTCTGGTGTCTTCAGCATCACATTTACTAATCATGTCTTTGAATAGAAACTTTGGAGATGGCTAAGCTCATTCATGCTATATTATTACCCTGGGCCACCTCAGTTCAGTCCTCTAATATATGTACTACATCTCAAAACAGTTTTTGCTCAGTTGAAAAACCATCTGTTAATCCTTCAACTGTATTATATAATACCATCTGTGCTCTGTTCAGTTCAGAGGAATGTGTAAAATCATGAAAGGTTGAGCTGGAAGGGACTTGATTATAGACTATCTTGTCTAACCTCAAAAAATGCAATATTGTAGGCAATTTAGTTGGGTACAGATAGTGCTGAAGTGTTTTGGAGGGGCACTGCATACTCTATCTGATTCACTTCTCGATATTGAATTTATAATCTGTCATATGTCTACCTCAGCAGTGCCAAGTCCATCCCTGTATAATGCTGTTTCTTAGTAGCAGCTGAATAACCATGGGCAAATCTCTCTGAGACTTACCTTCATTGTCTGAGAAATGAGGAAAATGAAGATCTACTTTGAAGGGTTATTAAGCATAAAATAAGGTGGTATAGAAAACACTGTGTAAACTGTAAAGTACTTTTCCTTTTGGTTTGGGAAGAGCATTGAACAGGAAGGAAAAAAATAAATAAAAATCAATCAATCAATCAGTCAATCTGTCTATCTGAGAATCAGTTCTTACATGGGCTCCCAGCTCAGAAGGAATGTCTTGGAAATAAGAATTTCTAGTATTTTAAATTATGAATGCTATTTGCTAGTCAAGCAATCATTCATTACCCTACAGAAGAAAGCCCTAAGCAATGCTATCAAACAGAAGACTGTATCTGCTTTCAAGAGATTACAAAGAAGTTCATCATCTAGTTGTCCTTTAAGACATTTGTGTTATTACATAAGGTAACTTAGAAAATGGGAAGTATTGAAGGACCTGTGAAAATACTATAGACCAACATAAAAAGTGTATGGGCTAGAATATTTTTCAATTTATTTGCAAGGCTGGCTTAATGACTATGGCATGATATGAGTGGTTACTCTCATAATGCATTAAATATTTAGCTTTAAATTATTTTTACAAGTTAAAACAAAATTTTCTAGTCATTTAGTTCAACAATCATTTATTGAGGATGCAATAAGGAATCAAAGATTGTCGCTGTCCTCAAGGTGCTCGTTGTCAGGGGAAACAAACATTACAAGACAATGGAAAATGCTGGGATGGAAGTAGACACGGTGTTATGGGAGCCCTGCAGGGACGGTGGGGAGGGACGTATAGAAATAGGGAAGAAATGTCAAGAAGCCTACCCAGAAGAAGCAATGTTTTTGCTGAGACTTGAAAGTTTCAGTGTCACGAGGAAAGAAGGGCCAATGGAAGTGTGTAAAAAGACAGGAGACATGAGAGAATGTGGTGTTTTCAGGGACCAGGGTGGACCCCAGGATGAGCTAAGGCAGTAAGAAATGGATATCCTTTGACAGAAATAAGGAATGAATATTGGCTTTATAATATTAATTACTTTACTTCACAATTAGCTGCTTACTCAGTTTTTACATTTCTTTGGAAACAATTTTATTTATAATCTTATCTTTTTCCAGTCACCCCTGTGTGACATACAGAAATATTATCAGGCCTGTCGCTGATGAAACATATTAGGAAAAGTGAAAATATATATTCTTTAAAGTGCTTCCCTTTTGAGGATTTTGCATCTAGTAAAAGCTGTGACTATCAATAACACCTTGATGGATTCTATAAAACAAAGAATTACCTAAGTAGCAGTAAAATTATATTATAAATGTTTGAAACTTCCATCATTATATTCCTATCAGTGAATGATTCCTCATGATTTTCAAGTTATGCCTTCAAAATGCTTGAGAGAGGTCACCCTTTTTGCAGATGATGAAACCGAGGTAAAGAGATCTCCTCGGTCTCAATGTGAGAGACTGGAGTATGTCAGGGAGATTATTGCTTTTGATTGAATCAAGTTTCTTAATCCCTCCTTCTACTATTAAGTTTCAGCTTTTGTAAGTCCAAAACTGGGAAGTGTTTTGAGGTTTGTTCTTCTGTGTATTGGAAATACCTCACGTGACATTCATAAAGTGCTCAAAGTGCGTGGTTCTGTAAGAAGCTGGAGCCAGCGGCTGTTGCTCTGACTGTTCAGCTTAGAGGGATGGACATGTAGCATTGATTATTCATGAAGTATGGATTATGGAGATGGTTTATATTCTTCAGAAATCAGAGTAGATGATATGTGCATTTGGCTTTTTAAAATCACAATCAATCAACTGTCAGAAGTGTCTTCACTGGATTCTTCTTGTATACAAAGTACATAGCCTTCTTCATTCCAGCTGGTGCACTTGACAACACTGCCAAAGCAAACAAGACATTTTAAAATTGTGACTAAGGCAATACATAAATAATCTGTATTCCATCTTTTCCCTGGTTACATGGCTTTTAATGAATTAGGCAAATTATGCATAGAAGGAGCATACTGCTATTTTGAATCCAACTGACTCGTTATGCATAATGTTCTGAATAAAAAACTACATGAATTCTTCCTGTTCCAGATCCCTAAGATGTCCATCTATCCCATTGTCTACTCTGTGTAGTTCTCATAAAATAGTTATAACTAAAGCTATTACTGAAGTTCATATTCAATAGCCATAACCGAAGCTAAGACAAGACACCTGCAAATAATTAAAATAGCATGTAATTTTAAAAATATTGAACAGTATAGGATTAAAAAAACCTCAGAAAACCATCTACATTTATATTATTAGAAGCACTATTAAAAGGATAACTAACTACCTTTTATCCACCTGCATTAATTTTTCTAACTATAAAAGTAATATATGTTCATAACAGAATATTTATAAGTATATGAAGAACAAAATTGAAATTACCTATTATTCTACTCCCTGTGTATATGCAGTTCTTATTAAAGTCATTTTACATGATATGGATGCACCATCATTTATTTAACCATTCTCCTATGGTTGGCCATTAAAAATTTTTTTTGCCATAATGAACCTCTTTTTTTTTTTTTTTGTGAGGAAGATCAGCCCTGAGCTAACATCTGTGCTAATCCTCCTTTTTGCTGAGGAAGGCCAGCTCTGAGCTAACATCTATTGCCAATCCTCCTCCTTTTTTTCCCCCAGAGCCCCAGTAGATAGTTGTATGTCATAGTTGCACATCCTTCTAGTTGCTGTATGCGGGACGCGGCCTCAGCATGGCCGGAGAAGCGTGCGTCGGTGCGTGCCCGGGATCTGAACCCAGGCCACCGGTAGCGGAGCAGGCGCACTTAACCGCTAAGCCACAGGGCTGGCCCTGAACCTCTTTATATATAAATTTTTAGACATTACTGATTATTTCCTTAGGATAGGTTTCTAAAAGGAATCACTGGTTCAAATACTATGAACTTTTTAAAAAAGCTTTTGATATCTGTTCATGAACTGCTTTCCAAAAATCATAGTGCTGAATAACACTACTACCAGCAGTGTATAAGACTGATTGTCTCATCATGTGCTCACTAGCACGGCATGTATTTTTAATTTTGCCGATTCAATAGATGAACAGTCACTTTTTAAAAATGATATCTAGTAAAAATAACTTTTTGTCAAAATTACACCAGGAACCATAAATGCTATTGTATTCTGTCTTACACAGATCTAGGAATCTGAATTCAACTGAGACAATGTATTGAGGTCCTACTATGAATAAGACATGGGCCAGCCCTTTTAGGAGTTCACAGTTTTGGTAGAAGGCTTAAAGCCTGTGCGCATAGGTACCATTCTTCCTTACTCACAGCCACATCTACACGCCTGACGGTTGGGCCCCACCTCATATTGATTCCCATCACCAAGCTATGCTATCAGCCACGTGGAATGGGCAAAGCCCAGAAGAGACAGATGAATGAGCTCTCAGCTCAACGCTTGGGCCCCACAGAACGTGTCAGGTATATTTGCTTGAGTGTTTTAGCAACCATTTACCTAGTTGATGTACACATTTTGTTAATTGAAAAACAAAGGGAGAAACAAATATTTCTCTTAAGTTTATGCCTCTGGTCTATCTTTTTACTCTATGTACTATTCATAAATAGAATTTTGTACTTTGTATTTATTTGGATGTTTTACATTTAAAAAAAGAGTAATTAAACAAGCCAACTCTTTGGACCGAGACTTCTTCATGGTCAGTGCCTGCTCTCTGCTCTTGTCGTTTCTCTAGGAGTCCATATTAAAAGATGTCTTCTTATAGTCATCTTTGGCCATCAGAGGATATTGTACTCTAGGAAATCACAGTTTGAATTATTCATCTCTATTCTTACTTGCTAATTTAATCAAGTGTTCATATTTAAAGAGACAGGGGGTAACTTGTCTGAACCTTTATCTATCCCAATCTTTCTTTCTCCTAGTTCTGGTCAGCTGTGTCATTGTCTCTTTCTTCCTAAGTCTCCAAAATTATTGACAGATATCTTCACGTCTAAAAGTTCTTGAGAAAAGTACATCCCAAGGCAAAACTTCAACAGATCTATGTAATTTTACCGGTGAGGTTATGGAATTCATTTAATCCAGCTATCCTTTGATAAAATGATTTAAAATAATTACCTACCATAGACTGACAGCTGGAATTAGTAACAGAACAGCAGACAGCAGAAAGGTGAAGCCTGGGTACCAAGCAACAGTGGCTGAATAAATTCCATTAAAAGTGGAAACTGCAGTGACTCCACCAAGTGTTTCTAAGAAAGCAACACAAGCAAACAGGGTACCTGTTTGGGGTTGAGGTGTGGAGGGAGAAAAAGAGAAGGCCGAGTTACAAAACAATAAACAAAAACTTGTGGAGAAAATTGTTACTCATTGAAAAGAGCAAACATGAAGGCACTGCTTGGTGAATGAAAGCTGTTCCCTCAAAATCCCTAATAAGTCAGTAACCCATTGTGCAGGTGAAGAAACTGAAGTCAAGAGTTCTCCTTGGACTTGATGTGAGAGATGTTGAAAACACAGTACAGCCAAGCGCCACTTAATGATGGGGACACGTTCTGAGAAATGCATCGTTAGGTGATTTCGTTGTTGTGTGAACATCATAGAGTGTACTTGGACCCATCTAGGCCATATGGTCCTAATCTTGTGGGACCCGTCATATATGCAGTCTGTTGTTGACCTCAACGTTGTTGTGTGGCGCATGACTGTAGTTCCAGTGTCAACAGGGCAAAGCTGAAAGTTAACAGCAGCTGACACAGCTGAAATCTGTGTCTCTCTCCCCGCCACAGGCTCAGGCATAGCCACAACTACCCACGATGTTCATGCTGCAATCTCCCACTTCCTCTCCCAACCCTAATCTGTGACACTCTGTGGGCAGGATGGCTCTGAGCAGGCAAGGTTCCCCTCCAGGGACCTTTTGAAAGGTAAAGTAATCATTTTCATCTGCTTCTCAGATCTGGCAAGAGTGACAGCTGCAGGCAAAGAGAGATGATCTTCTTATCATACTTTTTGCAATTTGAATTTGATCCCTCCCTCTAAAGTGACAACAAATGCAGTCACCTCAAGATTCCTGTATGTTTGACTCATCAAGTAACTACCCTGTGCTCTAGTGAAGGCTATGCCACAGTTTAATGTGAAGTGATTCTTAGAACATATTTTTCTGTCTTACCTGCTTGCAACTGCCTGCGCTCTGAGGTGGCTTACAAGATTAAGAAGAGGGGGATCTGCTGCCCATCACACTTGCCACACACCAGGTTTGGGAAAGGGTAGGCCATGGAGCATCGTTCAAGAAGCATGAGATGGCTGCATGGTCAGTCCAAGCTCACAATCAGAGAAATGGTCATTATTCTACTAATTTTTAGTTTTGTCTGGAATCCAAGACCATATCGACTGAAGAGTTAAACCTCCAAAAGACAGGCTGGCCATCAGATGTAGCTTTCTTCCTCCTTGTCAAGTTTTACATCACTATACAAAAAAATTTGAGGCCGTCTTCAGCTCTCCATGCCTTCCTCGGTATAAGTTCCTATGTAGTTTCTGCAGACTCTACCATTAAGCTATTGTCCTTATTCCCTACTTTGCCAAGTTTACTTTTCCATGATAAATTGTAATGCATTTTTCTCATAAACACTGCAAGTTGTGTAAATAATTGTGTTTGATTGGACTGATAGGAAAGAAAAGACAAGCTTGAGGCTCACCTTTCATAACTGGGGTATGGTTCACATGTCTATACTCTGATTTTCCCCATGGCCTTGATCTTTCAGACTGTGTACTGATTTTTGTCTATTTAAACTTTTCACTGTATTCTACATATTTTCGTACATTGCTTCAAATTCTTCACTGAACAATAGGACACATGTTCATAACACAAACGTCTCTCTGCGGAAGGCTGTGTTGTCATTTATGTTTCTTCTTTCGACTAAAATGAAAGCTCCGTCAACGCCAAGTGCACACCTGCTTTGTTCACCGCTGTGTCCCCGGGGCCGAGCTGTCCTGGCACATGCTAGATGTTTATGACGTATTTGTCAAGTGAACGAATAACAGCTTCATTGAAGGCGCAGTTATCAATCATCAAGTAGCATGTAGACTTACTGCCTCCATGATTTATGAGACTACATTAAGTCAGTTTAATTAGGAAGAAGTTCTCTTACTTGCCTAATTGCTTTATTATTTTATTTTATTTCTGACCCCTGATATAGCCAGGGATAATGCCGTGGAGGACAGACCACATAGTACTAGTCCTATAAGGCAACGGTGTGAATCCATTCTTGCTGGGAAACTGGTCAGGCAGTGTTGGGTTTTGACATGAACAACCACACTATCATGAAGTAGCTTTAGCTTGTTGCTGAACTTCCCTGAGCAGTTCAACTTGCTTAACAGTGGGACTGGATTGGATTAAATAATAAATGCAGTTTAGTTTATTCCTAAACTTTTTTTAATCCTATAGACCTCAAAAATCAAGTCTGTTTTTACTGTTTTCCATTTTGTAATCACAAGGAGTACACAGGTGAGGACAAGAGGTAGTCCACGAGGGCTTTAGCTATGGGTTTCACAGCTGGAGAGAGCACAGAGACTTCAAAATAATTACCAAATCCAGTGTCCTCCCCTTTCTTAAGATAATAGAGATGGTGACAGACATATGAAAACCTCTGTAGCATTTCCCTTCCCCTCTGATTATTGTAAAGTGCATAATGTTTTCACAAAAATATCCATTTTTAAAAAATAAAGAAGGATGAGAATACACTTGGTTATGGAAATTTCGACACCATCAAAAGGATTCCTTAGTTTGCAGTTAAGAACAAAGTAATGATACTATCCTAGAACAGTAGAATCATAATTCACAAAGCCAGCACAATTCAGAATAAGAAATGCCAACATGTAAGCAAAACGTTTTAAAATGTTGCTATGTTTAACAGTATGAAATGATTTTTTAAAAGCCTTTATAAATTAAACCAAATATAAACAAAAATAAACTATACATTCTGACAAGTCTATTTTAGCTCTAAGTCAAAGCAGGTAGATTTTTCTTTTTTTCTCCCAATAGCTTTATTGAGAGAGAATTCACATACCGTAAAATTCCCTCTTTTAAATTGTACAATTCAGTGTTTCTTAGTATGTTCACAGAGTTGGGCAACCATCACCACCATCTGCTTTTCGAACATTTTCATCACCCCAAAAAGAAACTTTGTACCCATTAGCAGTCACTCCCCTTCTTCCCAGCCCCAGCAAGCACTAATCTAATTTGTCTCTATGGATTTGCCTATTCTAGACATTTCACCTAAATGAAATCATATTTATATGATAATATGTGGCCTTTTGTGACTAGCTTCTTTCGTTTAGCATAACGATTTCAAGGTTCATCCATGTTGTAGCATGTATCAGTACTTATTTCTTTTTATTGCAAAATAATATTCCATTGGACAAATCTACCTTTCATCAGTTTATGGACATTTGCATTATTTCTCCTTTTTGGCTATTATAAATAATGGTGCTGTGAACATCTGCGCACAAGATTTTGTGTATGTGTTTTCCCAAGAGAGATGAAAATGTGTCCACACAAAATCTTGTACGCAGATGTTCATAGCAGCATTATTAGCATATACCTAGGAATGGAATTGCTGAGTCATAAGGTAACTATTTAACTTGCTGAGGAGCTATCAAACGGTTTTGTAAAATGGCTGCATCATTTTACATGCCACCAGCCGTGTATGAGGGTTCCAATTTCTCCACTTCTTCACCAACACTTCTTATGCTCTTTTTCATTTTAGCCATCCTAGTGAGTCTCACTGTGGTTTGGATTTGCATTTCCCTGATGGATAATGATGTTGAACATTTTCTCATGTGCTTATTGGCTATTTGCACATCTTCTTTGGACAGATATCTATTCAAATTACTTGCCCATTTTTAATTGCATTGTCTTTTTGTTGTTGAGGTTTTTTTTTGTTTGTTTTGTTTTGTTTTTGGTGAGGAAAATTGGCCCTGAGCTAACTTCTGTTGCCAATCTTCCTCTTTTTGCTTGAGGAAAAATTGTCTCTGAGCTAACATCTGTGCCAATCTTCTTTTTTTTTTTTTTGTATGTGGGATGCTGCCACAGCATGGCTTGATGAGTGGTGTGTAGGTCCGAGCCCAGGATCCAAACCCATGAACCCCGGGCCACCGAAGCGGAGCGTGCAAACTTAACCACTATGCCACTAGGCTGGCCCAGTTGTTGAGTTTTAAGAGTTCTTATATATTCTGGATACACGTTCCTTATCAGACATATAATTTGCAAATATATTCTCCCATTCTGTGAATTGTCTTTTCACTTTCTTGATGGTGTCCTTTGAAGCACAAATGTTTTTAATTTGGATAAAGTCTAATTTATCTATTTTTTCTATTGTTATGTTTTCAGTGTCATATCTAAGAAACCATTGCATAATCCAAGTAAGCAAGTAGATTTTTACATGCTATAGTTTTTATATCCTAAGTAATTTTCCAGTTAATCATTATCAATCTATAAACAGCTGTGTGAGTATTACAGCCACATCTTATGAATGGAAAAGAATCAAGAATATATTTTTTAATTTATTGAATCATGCAGTCTTCTCCAGTGTTGACTAAACTGCCATAAATAGAATAGCATAATTACAAATTATTCATAAACAATTAATATGAACATTTGCACTAGGCTAAGACATAAAACAAAGGAAAGCTCCAAAGTCTAATAATATTCACATGAAACAAATGGGAAGGAGGACAACCCCATATGCCTAATATCTAACTAGTAACTCGTTCTAACTAGGAATTTAATTTTTGTTTTTCTTCTGTACTGGTTATTCTCTGCCCACCCCTTCAACTGTTTGATCTTCGGTGGTCTGCTCTGTGCTTGGGAGGCTGACCCCACAGATTATATGATTTGACTTCCTTGCTGGCCTGACTTCCTGTTGCACTTGGTCCATGGGATCAGGGAGGAGAGAAAGGCTGTGATGTTTCTTCTCTGCTCCCTCCCTATTCAGGCCATCCTCTCTGGGTGCCTCCACACTGCCCACTCCTCTCTCCTGCCCTTCCTTAAAGTCTCTTTACTGAACCAGCTGAGTGGGATCCTGTTTTTGCTGGGACTCTGATTCAGGCCCAGCTCTAACATTTGTGAGGGCCAGCGTAAGAATACAATTAGAGGCCTACATATTATATTCTAAGTATTTAAAAGTTATAATTCTGACTAACAAACTGTTAACTAAGATATGTTCTGCCTCTCTACTCTGAGAAGTATACCTTCGTAATGATTTGGACGGTCAGACACAAACTTAGAATTCCCAGGCTTTTTAGAGTTCCATGTAGGTACATGACAGCACTGGGAGAGCTGGCCCTCAGCCCTCGGTTCCCAGCCTGCAGGCTGCAATACCACCCCCAGCACACCCCCCTCCGCTCCTTGTGTTCTACCTCTTGCTCTATCCTGCTCAGAAAGGATCATGTACACATGGGTGTAGACACCTCACCCTGCAATTCCAAGGTTGAGCCACACCCTCCTATAAAGAGTCACTTCTTGGCTACCCCTTTGGTCTAGAGGTAAGCACACTGGGGTCACAGTCCACCCTCAGGAAGAAGGGCCTGAGGAAGAGGATCATCAAGGCACTCACGACATGAGCTCAGGGCTGTTTGGCTGGGAATTATGGGGACCCAGGTACTCAGAGTGTTGTCTAGAAGAGGGGAGGTGTTGTGGGTTCCCAGTGGGCATTATCAGCCTGGCCTGAGGTCTCCTCTCCTCTTAGGGGGAGGGGAGGGAGCATGTCCAGAGCAAGCCTTCTAAAGCATGAGGCCCTGGGAGGGGCTCCTTGCGTGAATATAAGCCTCTTCCTAACATAGAGCTTAGCATTTAATTCAAAAAGAGTTCTGTGCAGGAAAAGGGTTGTAGGAATATTCTGAAGGATCAAACATTGATCTTACATAAATTTCAATTGGTACAGATTATAGATTCATTATATTCCTTAAGCAAATCAAACTCACCTTGTTCAGTAGAATGAACCACTTTTGACATCATGGACCGTAGAACAGAGAGTGGCACAATAGTGAAAAGGAACGGCAGCCTGACTGTGAGAGAAACGACCAGAGTCACTGGCTGAGTCAGAAAACTAAGGGCCAATTTTAAATGTGAAACACTTTCTAAATATTACATTTTCTTTAAGCATCCTGACTCATTGCATCTAAAGACTGCATTAATTAATTGCAGAATTCTGTTTAATGAATTAAGATAGACTTATAGATGGGTCAGTTTAAGGTTAGTTTATTCTCCAATTCTTTTTCCAGTGCTAAGAACAACAAGAGTTCGTGGAAATTTTAGGTCCAGATCTATATAATCTGCCAATTGGGAATGAACTGCTATTTTCCTAATTATTGTAGTAACCCAGGTTACTACAATTCGCAAGTTGTGACTATTAATCAGTTTTTTTGTTTGTTTTCTGTTTTTGCTTTTTCAGACTTGGCATTCTTAGCGTTAGCATTCTTTTAATATATTGATTCACTTATTGATAAATTGGTTCTTTATTTTCTTGCTGGTTTATCTCTGTGTCTGAATAATTTCCTGAACACAAATTGCCTCTCCTTTTAAATTATGACCCTCAATTGTCTATAACATTTTTAGTTATATGATAAAATAGTAATATATTACATTTGCAAATCAATTTAAAGTTTTCAGTGTGTTTTCACATCTATTAACTTAGTTGGTCTTAGCACCTCTAAGGCAGATGGAGAGCTGGCATGTATTGAATACTAGGCATTGTGCTAAGTGCTTTATAGTTTTCTCTTCTAATATCTATTATAACCCTCTGAATTAGGGACTACTATGCCCATGCTACAGATGAAAAAATGAGAGCTCAGAGTAGTTAAGTAACTTGCCCACCATCACCTAGTACTATAGATGGAAATGAATCCCAATTCTGTTTGTCAACCTGGTTCCCTGCCAAGTAGCAAGAGGTTAACACTACCTTCGTAGAAAAAGACTAAATTGGACCTTACAGATCCCTTAGCCCTTTCAAATGCAGGATCTCACTCGAGCCCTACAAAAATCACTCATGAGATAGGTAGTTAAGGAAGTGGTCCAATTTGCCCAAAAGTGATTCATCAAAAGCCAATTCATAAAATGACTGACTTGCTGAAAGATCAATTTGCAAAATCTTGTCTTAAAGAGTTTTATTTTTTAATATATTCAGTGAATACACATTTTTCTTATAAATCTTTTGAGTATACTTTATATAATTGTCTTAAAACTTTTTCTTTTTTTTCTTTTTCATTTTTTTGTGAGGAAGATCAGCCCTGAGCTAACATCCACTGCCAATCCTCTTTTTTTTTTTGCTGAGGAAGATTGGCCCTGGGTTAACATCCATGCCCATTTTCCTCTACTTTACATGGGACAATGCCACAGCATGCCTTGACAAGCGGTGCATCGGTGCGCACCCAGATCTGAATCTGCAAACCCTGGGCCGCCGAAGCAGAGCACACACACTTAACTGCTGTGCCACTGGGCTAGCCCATCTTAAAACTTTTTATGGAAAGTAGCCTTCTTAGCAGTATTTTAAGAAACACTCAAGTTAGTGAAAGCTATATTGAAGAATTGATTCACAAGAAGAATGTTCCTCAAAATAATTTTTTGGCTAATTTGCAAATTTGGAAAATTGTGGTTGTTCAGTGAATTGCTTTTTTTAAAACAAGTTGGCTTTCAGCCTCTGGCAAACTAGCTTTTAACAAATTACCTTTAATTGAACTAGAATAGACTCATCAAGGCACTCACTGGACGTGAGCTCAGAGCTGTTTGGCTGGGAATTATGGGGACCCAGGTACCCAGAGTGTAGTCTAGAAGAGGGGAGATGTTGTGGGAATGCGTTAGAGAATTTTATATTAAAGTTTTTCATCCAAGAGACTAAATTCGTTTTATATAAACATCAAATACATGATTATTTCTAAGGCTACATTTGTAACTCACCTAAAAGCATCATCAATGTTGTTCTGGCAAAAGCAGTCATAGCCATTCCCGCCATGGTGGTAAAAATTCCAATGAAGGCCATGTGAATATCTTCCATACAGTAAGAAAAAAGCCATATTCCTAGGAAACTAGTCAAAAAAGAGATACTACCCAAAGCTGATCCATAACCTATATAAACTTCATTCCAGCAGAGTGGTGAATCCAATTCATAAAGGATAAAAATGGGAGAAGTGCCAATTACCACAAAAAAATAAGTGATCGTTGTAAAAAGTAACAAACAGAGCAAACACCGTCGTTCACCAGAAGCATTTTTGAAAAGCATGTAAGCTCGGTAAAATAGGTTTTTAAAACTTTCACTACATGATATGGAAACATTCTGAGATGAAGACTCTTTCATTGAATCACCAAGAAAAAATAAAATATAAATCAAGTTAACAGTAAGAGTCATAGTAATAATTAAAAACGACCATACAAAGCCTAGTTCTCTAATAAAATAGCCAGAAGACAGTCCTGTTAATCCAGTAACAAGTCCAAGTATAAAGTCAATTATAGCTATTCGAATTGTTCTTTGTTTCTGTTCTTTACATTGATCAACTATGTAGGCAAAACAGGCTCCAAAAAATGTGGTATAATTGCCACAAAGTGCACCAATAAAGGTAGATGCAATCAAAAGCTGGAATGGAAAGGCAAAATAGGAAAGCAAACAGAGCCAAACACTGGTTGCAAGGGCACCAACAGAAGATAAAATCAAAGGGAATTTTCGTCCTTGCTGATCACTATGAGACAGAAGTATGAACGTAGACACTAGACCAGGAATTAACCCACTTATGTCCATCTGCAGATTAAAAAGAGACACTTTTTTCTGAACTTCCTGCAAAGAAATAAAAAGACAATGTTTACAGAGGTTTAGACAACATATGTAACAGTATCACGGTGCAGACTGTCTTGACATGGCCAGTGGGTCAGCGATGGGAATCTCTGGCACATGGATTTGATACAGCTTAACTCTTCATCCAGTTCACAAAGCAAATATCAAGAGGTGATATAATCATCAATGCTCAGTCATAATATTCAAGTACCACGGTGGGGACTTCAACCCATAAAAATAAAAATGTGTGTATTGATGTGTGTCTGTCTTATATAAGAGCATCCATAGACCCCAAGGCCTCCGGGACTGGCCATACAAGGATTTTTCTTTGTTCTATGAACAGTTAGCACTAAGAAATCATGACTGCTGTTTAAAGCAAGAGCAATACCCTTTCCCATGATGTATCTTTCTGTCTACTCTAAAGGGGAATGAATATCACATGTAAATGTCATATCTGATAGACCTTTATTTAGGAAGGGCTCAGTTGCCCTTTTTACATGTATTTCCACAAATAGATTACTGAGAAACTTATTCTTTTATTTACTAAAAATTAAAATAAAACCCAAAGAGGAGCTTTGCAGTGAGTAAAAGTGATAGTGTGCCATGAACTGAGGAGTGAGATAAACTCAGTTCCCCTGAGGACCAAAACTATTACGTACACACACAGATTGGCAGATGTAACAATTGTTAGACTAACTATTTGATGGGAAGAATTTTGGGTGATTTAAAAGCATTTTCTCTTGGGTCGGCCCAGTGGCGTAGTGGTTAAGTGCACGCGCTACACTGCAGCAGCCCAGGGTTCAGATCCCAGGTGTGCGCTGACGTGCCACTTGTCAAGCCATGCTGTGGCGGCGTCCCATATAAAGTAGAGGAAGATGGGCATGGATGTTGGCCCTGGGAGGATTGGCGACAGATGTTATCTCAGGGCTAATCTTCCTCACTAAATAAATAAATAAATAAAAATAAAAGCATTTTCTCCTTGCCACTTTATATTTTCCAAATTTTATATAAAGAGTATGTGCCATTTTTATAATGGGGATTACTAAGCTTATTTTAAAACAAAGATCTATTCCTATAATATTTAGAAGGCACCCTACACAACTGATGAACCATCAGAATATCAAATACTAAATTAATGGTTTTTTAAAATAGTGAGCCTATTTTTATTTTTATATATTCATGTAATTCAAGCAATTCCATGTCGCCAAGAAATGTTCTCGTCACTCAGACTCAGAACTTCAGTCATCTTGCTTCTAGCCTTTCCCTTCACCCGTGCCCCCCAAGACAATCTTTCCTGCTCCGCCCAGTGCTTCTCACACCCTTGACCTTCTCTATCATCCCATAGTTGCCACTGGAACGACAACGCTCGTTAGTTTTTACCTGGACCGCTCTGGCATCTGCCTGGTGTCTATCCTATTCAGTATATAACGCCAGGCTTCTCACTTTGCAGATCACGTACACTAATGCTGGGAGCATCTTGCCAAAGCACACTTTCAGCATGGCTTTCACCCACCTAGTAGCTTCAGTACCACCCCACTGCCTGCTAGAGTATTTAAGGTGCCATGTGCCCCAACCTCACTTTTCAGCCTTATCCCCACTCTCTCCCCAAATACCCTCTATGTTCCCGGCACAGTCCATGGTCCAACCTGGATTTCCCTGAGATCCCCAAACAGATGTAATCTCGTCTTCCTCTGAACCTTCTCATGTGACAATTATCATTCCCCAGTTATACTTTTTTGCATAATGATTAAGAGCTTGAGCTCTGGAGTCAGATGAATCTGGATTCAAATCCAGTCAGTTCTTTACACAACAATTAGAATGATCTTTAAAAACACACATCAGCTCATGTCACTCCTCTGCTCAAAATGCCCCAGTGGCTCTCCTTACATGAATAAATCCAAACTCCTTGCCATGGCGTTGGTGGCCCAACATCACGACTTCTCTGATTTCATCTCCACTTCCTTACTCCTCTCAGCTGACTCCATGCTCATTCGCTTTTGTACTTGCTGTTCCCTCCGCCTGACTATCACACAGCTCACTTCTTCAATTGAAAGTCATCTCCTCAAGAGAAGGGAACTCTCATACACTGCTGGTGGGAGTGCAAACTGGTGCAGCCACTATGGAAAACAGTATGGAGATTCCTCAAAAAATCAA